ACAATTTATATCAATTTCCATGTTAATATTATTGGTCATTAATCTTTATGTTATCAAAATAAAATTACTTCTTGAAATTTAAATAAAGGAAAATTGTTTCAAAAGCGTTTTTAAAAAAAAAAAAAATATATCAGTTGTTAAAATTCCAGAGATTTATTGTTGTTACAAAAATATATAAAATAAGAAATAAATTCTGAACAAAAAATACTAAAACGCAATCAATATAAAAATTAATTATAAGTAAAATATTTAATAACAAGATTTTAAGTAAAATAAATTTAATTACTAAAATAAGAGATTGAGAGACTAAAAATAAAACCGCCATAATATAAAGTCAGGAAAAATAAATTCCAATAGGGACTAAAAAAAAAAATATCTAAATTTAAAAGAAAATAAAATCGATAATTTACTAAGTTGTAAGAAAGTAAACAAGTAGCTTAGTAACACAAGTCTCTAAAATAAAATCCGCTTAAAACCAGTAAAGTAAAATAATAACAATAAGTCCCATTTAAGGTCAAGTGAAAAAATAATACTCGAACAGCCAGGGACTTGTCACCAGTTTAGATAATCATAAGAATAAGACATAGAAAACAACCGATTATTTAAAAGCGCGAAATAAAATAAAACAAATAATTTAAAATAAGTATATGTTTCAGAAGTATAACTAGGAATTCATCAGCCTTACAGCCGATAAAGTAGTAACTAATTGTGTCAACTCCGCCAGTTATTGATTTTTTCACAGCGTCAAGTGCGTCGACCGTTACAATCTAAAGTAAAAAGAGATAGTAAATAATCGTAGCTCACAAAGAAAGTCACAGGTAGTAAAGAAGCACGTGCTGGTAGCGCGTAATCATTTAGATAAATAAATAACAAAACATATAAGTAAAATAATTAGTATATAAAAAAAAGGGTAAAAAATATATATACATAAAAAAAAAAAAAGAAAAGGAAGATTTGTCAAGATATTAAATCTATTACAGAAGTCTCCAGGTCAAACACGTGAGAAAAAAAAATCAAACAGGTATTAACCCTAATTTGCATAAAATAAAATTAAACTACCAATAGAATATTAATTAATAATAAAATAATTAAATTTATTTAACATTTAATAAATAAATTCGTAGTAGTATAATCGTTTAATTTATAAATGGGTATATATAATTGTGTATAAGTACTAACATGTTATAAAAGTTGTTGACAGGTGAACGAGGAGTGCTGAGAGATTCTGGTCCCTCAACGATAATTGAATCTGAACAAAAACAGTTTCACTGTAATAAATTGCGCCAAGTACACGTTTACAACTTTTGATTTACCAAAATACCAATGAGAAATTATCACTTTACAAAAAGACGTAAAATAAAAAAAAACAGACCAAGTAGCCGTTATGATTTTTAATAATTGAAAAAATTTTGTAGTAAATTTAACAATTAAAAACAATTTTTTCAACGTACTTGGCGTGCGTCATTGAGTACCCCAAATTTTTTCATATCTGATAACTAAGGCCAAAGAACTTATGTGAAAAGTAATTTTAGGGACTACAATTCTTTCAGCCCCTCCTCACCAAGTCATTGACCCTACTGATGATTATTTTGATGCAACCATATGAATCTATAAGTTTTGAACATCTCGATCAATCGAATCGAGATAAGTGGCAATACAAAAAGTATCAACGCCATTAAATTTGGTGAAAATTTAAATTGATTCGGTCCGCTAAATTTTGAGAAATCTCAAAAATAAAATTTTCAAAAAATGGTTTTTCAGAATAACTTTTAAACGACTCCACGAGTCAATTAAAAAAACTCAGCCGCTCTTAAACTCAAAATACTGCGTCTATTGCCGCCAGTCCCGTCAAAATCAATTGATTCTTTTGGGAGTTATCAAAAACGAAAAATTTCGAAAAAAGTGATTTTTTTACATAACTTCATTTCTTTTTGGATAGTTTTTGATGAAAAAAAAAAATAATTAGTGAAGGATGATGATTAAAATTAAATTTTTCTTGACGAGAGAAGAAACTGGATTCTTAGACGCTAGTAGAGCTAAGCCTTCGCGCGATCGCGCTTAAAGCATGCAATAATGCTGTGAAGAAGAAAAGAACAGGAGTTAAGATAATGATTAAACTACTGACTGTTGACATGAATGAGTTATCTGACGGATTTTGAGACGTTATTACAATACATCTGAAAAAATTTGAGGTACTCAATGACGCACGCCAAGTACGTTGAAAAAATTGTTTTTAATTGTTAAATTTACTACAAAAGTTTTTCAATTATTAAAAATCATAACAGCTACTTGGTCTGTTTTTTTTTATTTTACGTCTTTTTGTAAAGTGATAATTTCTCATTGGTATTTTGGTAAATCAAAAGTTGTAAACGTGTACTTGGCGCAATTTATTACAGTGAAACTGTTTTTGTTCAGATAAAATATATCAGTTACCGAGATATTTATTGAGAAATTAATATTTAAAAATCACAAAAAATTCTCAAGTAACCTACATTAAAATGGAATCAAAACATTTGGCAACGTTGCGTAGCGCGCGAGTTCAGACCATTCAATAAATTCAAACTAATTTATTTATTTACACTGACTGCAAAAACTTAAACGTGGTTAAGGTTATATTGTGCAAATGAAAATGTAAACAACCGAAGTACAGCGTTGCCAAATCACGAACAGGTTACTAGCAGCTGATTTGAAAGAATCAAATTAATTTTTGTATTTAACTATTTTTTTTTATTTTCAAAATTTCAACGATTAATACCTCATATACTATTTATTATTTAATTTAAGGAATTTTTATGGGTTTTTTATTTTAATCTATCGTATATTGACTACTACAATTGTTTCGACTCAACTGGAGCGAAAGGATTTCCTTAAAAAAAAACATAATATATGTTTATATTTTTTCTCCCTTTTTGACGTGATCTGACGTGAATCAAGTCATTGCGACGAAGAAGGAAGCCTGAATCGTCGTCGGTATCGCTGCAGGAAGTTAAAGACCCAACCGAGATCCAACAAGGGGTTTCTAGAACATGTAAATCTACGTATATATGCTTATAAATATAAATACATATATTTGTATATAGATATACAGCAGTGTGTCAGCAGTGCTATAGATAACTATGCTACGCCGTGGTATCGTGGTATAGTATGGAGACTGTATAAGTGTACTTACGCGTGAAATATTGTTATTGCATACACACGTGTTCGCGTGAGAAGGAAAGCCTCAAAGTCGATAAGACTACGTTATCTAATGGAACTTTCAGTTATACTTTAAAAACCTCCTGACATTTTATGCGAAAGCTCACTCACATTTCGTCTTTTACTTTTTTACTATTGTTGTACAACTAGAGCTTTATTGTTGAGTAAAAATTTTTATTGAGAGTTTTAGCAAAAATTCATGCTTAGAATTTTTATTTTTTAGCTCATACAAAAGTTAATTCAATGAAAAAAAAGTTTTTGAATAGAAAAAATTATTTTAAAATATTTTTTTAAGTTTTAAATTGAGATGAAAAATTTTTTTATCAAAAGTTTGAATAATTTTTGTTGCTTGATTTAAGACAAAATATTTTTAATTTAATTTTCACAATTGAAAAAATTTTTATTAAATCAAGTGAATTTTTAATCAGTGTTTTAATTATTGCAACTAAAATCAATGACTATTTAAATATAAAAATTACAAATTTTTTTATGACTATCTTTAGTAAATTTTCCAGTTGTCAAGTTTTAAATTTAAATGTCACCTCTAAATCCCATTTTTTACAACACATTAAATAAAACAAAAGAAAAGTCTGTTTTCAATTCCAACTAAAGATAGTAACTAAAAGTAGATCTTTAAAGTGTGCAATAATTAAAAGTTTAAGTCAACTTAAATTAACTAAACATTTAATTAAATATGAATTTAACGCCGGAACCTTTATTAATAATTACTTTTCTCAAAGAACAAAACTGAACTAAACTTTAAATTTCCGAGTTGTTATAATAATAAATTCAAAAATCTCAGTTAAATTATTAATTTTACTTAGTTTCAATACCCCACAAAACTTTAAAATATACAACAACAAATAATAAAATATGTAATTAAAGTTTGTTGTCATTAAAAAGTTGTGCAAACGTTTTAATTCTGTTGATTACTTAATGTTAATAGATAACACAAGTATCTCACTATAAACTTTGGACAATTTACTTATCCGAAAGTTTGTGTCGCCGTCTGTAGTCTCGGTGCATGCATATGTCTATATATAATATATAACATATAACATTATAATAGTCTTGACAGCCAAACTCTATATCTGTATATACCCTCAAAAGTATAAGTAAGAGAAGAGTTAAAGATAATATTTAACTAAAAAGGAATCTGATGAAATCTTATATCTGTAGCATTTGGGTTGTGTCTCCCGAGGCGTTTTCTCTGAGTACGGAAATTCATGCCAGAGTCATCCACTAGCACTATAATAACTACACACCGACTTAGAGTGGTGGTGGTGATCGTCGCCAAGTACTTTGGTGGATGCTCGTTAAGCTCGGAGTAAACGCCTAGCCGTTGAAGGGTTGAGGGTTGATACTAGAGGAGGTGAAGAGAGATTGAACAGGGTACCTATATCCGTCAGGCATATCGGGTCTTGTTGATAGGCAAACTGTAGACGACGAGACTCTGACTACTTTGCTTCAAGGGTTCTCATTATCATCAGCTCTATCAACTATTTCCTCTTTTCCTTTCGGTTTATCTCCAGATATAAATATAGATATATTGGCACACATTCACTCAATACATAGGGTCATTTTAACGTGCAAGAGAACAACGCATTCAACTGTGGAATGAGAGCTGACTACGAGAGCAGGAAATCCTCAAACGGATCCAGGGAAAACCGTTTAGGCACTTGGAAACGTCCAACAAACACACTAGCTATTGCCTCCGGGTTCTTCCACATCCCACATCCGGAAGACCTCAGACCTCAGTTCTCCATCCTGTTTGTGTCCTTTCCTCAATGCCTTTCCGTCAAAAGTTACTCTGTTCCGGGAACCAGAAACAACATCAACATCAGCATCAGCATCAGCATCATTGTAACTTCATCCATTTTTGTCTCATCATTTCCTGATTTAGCTAAATCGATTATTTTAGCAAGAGCACTTTGAAGTAATTCCGTCCACTGTTTTTGACTTACCGTATACCTCGAATATTTATTTGTAATGAAACTCTTCAAACAATGTAACGAAGCATGAACAGATGACTCCGATGCTGTTCTGGTATTTTGATTATCAACTCGAACTCCAGTTTCTCGTATAATACCAGTAGCTAAATAAAGAAGAGTTGGAAGAATTGATAGAGCACCTTGAGGTGAGCAAAGAGATGGAAGAGTTTCCATAATACTGAGAGTTAAAGTAATAAGTTTTCCATTTTCTTCAGAAGCAACGTAACTTTTTTGTAATAGAATAGCAGTTGTTCCTTCAGGATTAGGATTCAAAGCAGGTAATTGTCGAACTAAAACACAAAGACAAATTTCTAAAACTGCAAAAATGAATGATTTGCCTGGCTTCAATTCTCCTGTTTCTCCTCCTTCGCCCAATAATTCTAATTCTTCACGATTTATCGCTTCTGAATTAGCTGGCACCAATTTTTTTAATTCGATTAATTTTTCTTCTTCTAAATTTTCTTCAACAGCCTTTACAATTTGTTTCAGTACTTCCATTGTCATCATTTGAATTATACAGTTGTCTTGCGTCAATAAAAGTCTATGAAGAACATTACAAAGTTCAATAGGAAGTGAAATATCGGCGGTTAAAATTTTTCTAACCCACATGGAGTCTAATAAAGTAAATAGGGCGCTGAGACAGATTTTTATATTTTGTGGAGACTCAGAAGAACGTGAATTACATAGTGCTTCCATACAAATACCGAAAAGAAGATGAAAATGTTCGATACTAGTATTTGATTTGGAATTATTAATATTATTATCTGTAGGGTTATTATTGTCACTGTTATTATTACTATTATTGTTGTTATTATTTTTATTGTTATGATGATGATGGTGATGATTATTATTATTATTATTATTGTTGTTGTTGTTGTTGTTGTAGCTATTGCAATTATTATTAGGCGTTGGAATATTATCGACCGTCATGTGATTCAAATCAAATCCTTTTGTATTTAACCACAAAGCAGCAGCATGAAGAATAGGTGACCATGATTTAATATAATAAGGCCTTGCAGATTCTATTGTATCTGTTGTGTAAAATGCACCTCCTTCGTGAGGTAATTGACTTGCAAATTCTGGTGGTAATAAGAGTAAAGCATGATCACGTAATGCTGCAAGCCAATATTGACTTAAACTCAATAATTCAGGTTGTACTAAACTCAAGAGACTCTCATTTTGAAATTCAAATTGACCAAAATCATCATTGTCTGTATTTTCTGTTTTACTAATATTTCTTAACGATGAATTACGTATATTTGGAGTAGATCCGTTGTTTATCATCGCTACAACATATACTTCAGCCCATGCTTTAAGAATAGCCAATCTTTCTAAAGTTAGAAGACTTTCATTATATAATTGCGGACGTGTATGGCCATCACGTAATTTTTCTAATGATGAAACAAGCAATTGGTGAACACGTCGAAGATCATTAAGGTCCCGAGCTACTCCACTGCCTATCCAAGCACTGCAAGCTTCACAAGCGGCAGCAGTAACATGAGATGGTGTATCTGGAGAAAATGCTGGTCTTAAAGCAGCTCCTACTTGCGCCTGAAATTGCTCTAGAAGTAAATGTCCTGGGAACTCAGGTTCAGGTACTTTAGCAAACTTTTCAATAATTTCTTGAAGAGTTTTCAATCCCTCCAAACGTAATGGATCACAATCACTGGTTGCAGCAATAAAAGCCATTCGTACAAGATCAGATAGATGTAAAACTAGATAATCACCTCGACCTTTTACTTGCTGCAATTCTTTAGCGACTGATAAGTCGAAATGTGCTTGTTTATTATTATTATTATTATTATTATTATTATTATTTATACAAGTGGTTATAATACGACGGACACATTGAGCAGCAAAAACACGCGTTGGCCACCTTGGAGATACACTAGGGCGCAGTTTAGATTCATCGGCATGAAACTCCGCTTGGTCATCATCACCTTCTGTATCAGCACTGTCATTACCTACAAGGCTATCTTCATTAGATATTATTGCTATTTCTTCACATGTACTAGCTTCTGATGCTACTGTAAGTACGTCTTTGCAAAGAGCTATCCAAAGAGAGAGATTATTAGCCGCTAACATTTGTAGCATACTTGTTAAAATATCGTGTATATCTTTAATGAGTCCACTATCAGTTTCAATGTCTAATAAACTAAAAAGAACTCCCGGAAGACCTGTCTCTGTTATTGTTAAACCTTCAACAATATTTGTATCTCTACTTTCGTTTGCTAAACTCATCGCGTGTTCACATACTTCCTTAGCTTCTCTCTGAGCAAGTTGTCTTAAACACGATATTGCTGCTTTACGAAGGAGTAAATGATTGCTTGATAATGTACGGCATAAAGTTGGCACAAGAGAAGATAAATTTACATGACGTGGGGCAAATAAGTGCAACTGTTGAAGACATCCAGTTGCCTCTGCTTGAACTAAAGGATCTTGATGATCTTGCATTATTGCACAAGCACAAAGAAAAGATTGTCGAGCTGTACAAATAGATGATGTATTGCCTTGTCCGGATTACGATACATTTAATATAAATACAAAACATATATATTGAGACAATGCAAACTGTCCTTTTCTTCTCAGCCTTCAACTGACTGTCTGAAAATCTTCGTTACCGACACTGCGTTAATTTCCTTAATTTTTGGCGGTAGAGTCTCGGAAAAGAGTGAGGGAAAACGGCCCACGTGACAACACCGAAAATATTGGTCAGACTTTGATCCAACCCCAAACTAGTAATCACGCTAATTTTATAACTCTCTATACTACTCTTTATTAATTATTAATTAAGTAAATTATAACGTTTTATATATTCTAAAAATTCATTATGAATTAATTTAAATTCTACTATTATAATTAATTATTTAAGCTTTCATTGCATTTGAGAAATGATAAACAAATCATTAGTGTGTGGAATAAAATAGTTATTTTGTTGTTAATTGTGTATTATCATTGTTATCAATCTACCTACTTACTAAAATTACTTCATTCACCTACGCATTCTTTGAGGGACGAGCATTATCAAGGAGTAGCCTGTTGCCTCACGGGCTGCTGCATTAACCAGGATCTTGTAAAGCTGTCATCGCTATATATTGTAAGTAATCAAAGAATATTTACTAGCATACGTGAGACTTCCTATCAGACTACATACTCCTTCTATGACATTCTATTCACTCTAAATATCCAGAAACTAAATACGTCATCCGTAAGGAAGCGGATTTCCGAGGGCTGGTGGTCCTAATAAATAAATTTAGAGAATCAATTGACTAAATTCGTATCCGCAAGGTTTTAGTGAACTGATAAATGAATTTTTTATGTAAAGAAAAATTCTTACATCTCAATATAGTTATTGATTACAATATAATAATTATAATAATTTAAAGAAAATATGATTTGAAAATTTTCTGACCGCGAATTTATAGTGTCCTAACCTATCTTTTCAAGAAATTAATTTATTAAAAAATAATAAATCCAACTAATAAAATATTATTAATCAATTATTTATTAATGTTACGCAATATTTTTATTAAATTTTTGAGTTGAATTAAAAAAAAAATAATAATAATAATAATAATAATAATAATTCTATCACGTTTCAATTTATTATAAATATAAGAAAATTTTCAAAAAATATTTCCCTTTATTTCTATTTATTTGGACTGATTATTAGACAGACAAAATGGTAAATACGCGTAAACAGAACAGAGAACTGCGTGACAGGTTGAGAGAAGCAAACGAAACAATTGAACAGATGAGAGCTGCATCGATAAGTGGTATTCAACGTAATCAGACACAAGAAGTAAATAAAAATAAAAAATCTATCCCAGTAATATTAGAGGATAAACACTTAAAATAGCCAATACAAATTAAAAGAAAAACACAATGGCCTTTAGGAAATTATGCCAGTTCATCACGCGTAAATGACAACGATTTAGATATAATATTACACCAAGAAGGGGAAACAGTAGAAGATCATACAGAAAAAGAGGAAACAATACAAATAAATGATACATATACAACAAACGAAGAAAAAATGTGGAATTTGGACGAAAATAAAAGGAAGACATTTATGAAAATATATCAAGCATATGAAGATGCTCGCGAAGATAATGAAGGATGGTGTTTCTATCTAGCCGAATGCCTAAAATGGATGAAAAACAAGCTAATAAAAGAGAAAAACTTGGTCCATCGGATTCAAATGATCGAGTCAATGCCAGTAATCCAGAACCAGCGACTTATAGAAGCACTACAAAAAGAATTGAACTTGCCAGAGAATGAAACAGGACACTGTGGAAACCCAATTACAGACTATATTGCCAGGGGAGTACAACTATTTGATAACTCAACATATCTGGAGGTACCAGAGAATTCAAAAAATAAAAGACCATAGACATACGATGATGCGAACGAAAACAATGAACCAGGAGATGAAATATTCCGAAGATCATATCATCAGCCAGCACGAAATCAACATCAGTACCAAGAATCAGAACGTCTAAACAGAGAGCGATGCGAAGAATATCAAAATCAATATTCATATGATTACCACACATATCCAACATGTGGACACACACCACGACAAAGTACTCATACAAATCAATATAGAGACTCAGGACAATTATCAGCGCAAAACCCAAGATGCTGCCCAACACAACATAGTTTTTACGGACAACATCAATATCAAAACGCACAAATGAATCAATCAAGAAATAATGATTTAAAATTAATGGCAGACAAAATAAAGTCCATGGAAACATTAATACGTACGAAAGAGTTAAAATATGAAGAAGACACAAGTCCAAGACAGTGAATACAAAATATGACAGAAACATGCGAAGAAAAAAACATGATATTCGAAGATCGACTGGAATTATTGAAAGTAGCGTTGACCAGAAAAAAAGAATGGATTAAACAAAACATTCAAAGTTGGAATAATTGGGAATAAGTAGAGAAAGCATTTAAAAAGACTTTCTGCAAAGCAAAAGGTTATACGGAAATTTTACAAGAGATTTTCACGTTTCAAAATAAAAACGAACAGTCACACGCGTTCGTAGAAAGAATGAGAACAAAATTCGAAGAATTAGAAGAGAAAATGCCAATAAAACAACAGATAGAGATAATAAAACCTAAATTAGAAGTAGAAATTCAGAAAGAACTGAATACATTAGCACCAGCAAAAACGTATCAACAATTAACGGAAGCACTAGCAATAATAGAAGTGAGAATCGAACAATTCAGAAAATTTAAAGAATTGAGGAAAACACCTATAAGAAGACTTAAAGATACGAAAGACTCAGTATTGGAAGTTTCAACAGATTCGGATTCAGATACAGAGCCAGTGAGAAGAATAAGAAAATCTAGAAAGGATCGAGATCAAGAAGCCTCGAAAACAAAAAGAAAAGAAAACAAAGAGCAAGAAAAAAAGGTAAGCCTTATAATTGAGAATGATAATAATAAAAAATATAACAATTACAGAGAAAGAGCGATGTCAAGAGAACGAGGAAGAAGATCAGGATCAACCAGTTCACGGGATAGTAGAAGGTCAGTGAAGGATAATTACACGTGTCTAAACTGTGGGGTAAAAGGAGACCACTACATCAGAAATTGCACCGGGAAACGGGTGGATATTTGTGTGCATTGCTTCAAAGTCGGCGTAACAGTAGAAACGTGCGACTGTAACGTACAAAAAAACTAGAAGAGCGAGCGCAATGCATACAGGAGGCTGTGCTCGCCCCACTTAAAGCTCCTGTGTACCAAGCACCAGTCCTTTGGTGGAGGGGAGGGTCATCCTGCCACTCCAACACAGACACAGATGATGAGCTTATTATCACAGACGATCACGAAACATCGTGTGAGTCGGAAGCTAATACGAGTTTAAAAAAAATCAGAAATAAAAAGATCATTAACCAGGATTCCCGGGGAAAAAAAATTATATATAATTATATAAAATTATATTTAATTATATATAATTTGATCTAATTTTACATAAAAATATATAAAATTTAATATAATTATGTATAATTTTATATAATTTTGTATAATTATGTATCATTTTATATATTTTTGTATAATTATATATAATTTTATATAACTATATCTTATTATATAAAATTTT